ATGGATGAAGATCCAAGGGAAGCTATCCTAAAATATGTTGATGTTTCAACAAATGAGCCAAAGTTCATAGCTCCAGCCTATGTCAAAACTCAATCTGAGCCATTGTTTGTGAAAACACCTTATGACATGCTTATAGCTATTTTTCATCTACATCCATAAGTTCTTCAATATAGCATATGCAATTATGAATAACTTATAGCTTATATCTAAGCAAAACACGTATATGAAAAACACCTATGCTATAAGTGATTAATTATGATGTTCATCCAAACATGACATAAGTTTGCTCCTGTTTCTTTTTTCAGGAATATTGACGATGTCGACAAAACCATGGATGAGATAAATGAACAGACTGAGAACATGAAGCAGATTCAAGAAGCATTGTCAACTCCAATTGGTGCAGCAGCTGATTTTGATGAGGTAACTCTCTCAAATATTTACTTATTTGTTATGTCGGTTGCAAACATGATATTTGTACCTTTTGATTGTTTATAGTGTTTTAGAGTGCTAATGCGTGTCCATTACAGTGTTCTCCTGCATATTAACGGAGTTGAATTTACTGTACTATGTTCTTCTGCATATGCCTATGTTGTTTTTGTATTAATCTTGGTAATTAATGTGCGGCGTTTAGTGTATACATAAGAAATCTAAAGTACTATATTTGGTATTTCAATTCAAAATGATCAATTGTTTAGAAATATTCTCATTAATGCCAATTAGCATATGTTCAAATTAGATTTAGGTATTTAACACTGACTTGACACGATGGGTGTAAGTAACCACATTTGGTTTGATGTTTCTCAAAACTAATCAATCAATTGAATATAATATGTTTTGATTTCTTACTTCTTATCTCGGCCACTTTCCAACATTAGTTTATTTTTGATATTAATCAAATTCTCTTTGGGAAATTTTGCATAAGCTTATGATCAAACAATGAAGGAGGTTATACAATTCACAAAGTATATTTTCCTGATACACAATTCTCATTGGTTCATGTTCTATTTGACTTGCCATGTTGCATTATCCTTTCCAATGGGGTAACTTATCTTATCTGATAATGCATTTTTTACATAGTATAATGTATATGGTTAATAATTAGGAGGAAACTGATGCTATTATAAACCTTCTACAGGGAATAGTAAGTGTTACTGATATCATAGGGTTCGGTGGTTCAGAGACAATATTCTTGAATACAAGATGGTATGTGCATGAAGTTTAAGAGTTACATATTGGTACATTATACATGTAATTCGTTTCCAATCAATACAAAAAAATTATCCATATCATATTAATCTATTTGATTTTGTAAGCCATCTAAAATCACGGGCCAGTTCCATTGATCTTGTCGGTGTTCTTAAGAATGAGATTTGTATTCTCAAAGATGGCGCCGATTTGGATTTTGAGTTTTGATTATGGCTATTGTGACAAACAATTTAACATTTACTGACTTCAATCTATTTATTTTGATGCAGGAAATTGATAAAAAGATACAATCTCTTGATTACACAAGCTTTATAGTAGAGGTTCTGAGTGTTGATGTTCAACCCTCGTATAATAATGGAGGTAATGGTTGTAGTGACAGACTGCTTAACTGGAACTGACAATGTTAAACACAATTTCCTCAATCATTTTTTCTACCCGCACAGGACAATGGCTTATATGTTTTGAATGATGTTTTTAGATGTATTTATGAGTATAAGTCTGTTGATATTGAGTCTGAACCAGTTGATATTGGCAATGAGGTTATTGTTTGAAGCTATTTTACATCCTGTTAGAACTATTCTATAATATATATTATGACATCCCACATTCACTGTCATGTACTAGGAAAGATCGTATATCATTATATCACCTTCCAATTGAGTGATTGGTCATATAGGCCATTAACAATGGAAAATGGATTAGAGTCTTTAGTCTGCAAGGTTATATCCAATTTCCATGATATTAAAGTAACATTACGATGAAAATAACAGAAAAAATCATCTGGTTTGAAATTTTTATACTAATCACACATCCTTTCAGAAGCCATGACTTCATAATTCTTAAATCTCAAGTGTGGTGGAAATATAAATCTGCACAAAATTTCATATAAAAAAATCAGGAAATTTTATTTTAAAATCAAGGAACAAATCAATTTAACTGAAATTTCCAATGATGGACACCCAGTGCAGTGTCTACAGTAAGGACAATTGCCTTGAAACAAAAAAAAAACTATCAAATTCATATATCAAAAGTAAATTCCTGGTTTAAACTAAGTTTCTTGGAAATGTTTACTCATCAACGAAATGTTCTTTTGTTATCAAGAAAAGTACAAGTAACACATTTCATACATATATATATATATATATATATATATATATATATATATATATATATATATATATATATATATATATATATATATATATATATATATATATATATATATATATATATATATATATATATATATATATATATATATATATATATATATATATATATATATATATATATATAAACGGAAACAAATTTACTATTGATTCAAATATATTTATAAATAATATCAAAATAAAAATAATATTTTGATTTAAATATTTTTATAAACGGGAATAACTTTACTATTGATTCAAATATATTTATAAATAATGTCAAAACAATAATAATATTTATATACGGAAAAAAATTGTTGATTAAAATATTTTTATATATGGAAACAAATATTATTTTTTTAAACGGGATCAACTTTACTACTGATTCAAATATTGAATAATAGAAATTTATCAAACAATATATTCTCTCTTATAAGAATTATCTTATTAGTTAAAAAAACTTAAATAATTAATTTATCTAATACAAGTTTCAGTAGTTTTTTAATCATATTATTATTGATATTATTGTTTACCTTTCATCTTCTACATGTATTACTATTTCAACTTAAATTTAATATTATTCTTAAGTTTTTTTTTTCTTTCTATTTTCTACTTTTAATTCTTATGACAGTTTGCAAACAAATGCGTGTTCAAAATCATATCCCATCCAAAAATGTAACCTGTGCATAGGCACGAGTTTCTTGCATTTCTCTCACAAAATGATAAGTTTAACCCTGTATAATATTTAGAATTTGAATAATATCATCTATCTATGTATAATATTTAGAATTTGAATAATATCATCTATCTAACTAAGCTTGGAAAACACCATTGAACTCCCTAATATACTCTTTCATTACATTTCAAAATACACATTAAAAAGTAGTTTTCAATAATCGACTAAATAACTCAAATAAAGTGAAACGGAACACAACCAATTAGATTTAAGTAAAAAATAAATAAATATATCTTGTGATGATGATGTGCCTAAAATCTTAATATGATATTATATATTTTAATCTTTTTCACTGTAATATGATTGAAGAAACAATTTGTTTTCATTGTGAAGATAATTTGTTGTTATTTGGTAGGTGTATACTCATTTTTGTTCTTCATTTAAATGTCTCAATCTATACCCAAATGTATGTCACTGAAAAGATGATTATTGACTTATGGACAATCTCTGTCTATGCTCTAATCCTTTCATGCCTAAATTTTATATTAACTTTAATGTCAAGAATCTATTGCGAGGGTGAGTCTATTTTGATCACTGATAAGGATTTTCTAGGCAATATTTAGCTAATGTAATATAACGGTTTTATGTTTGTAGTTAAAAAATAAGAGATTCATCCTATGGAGTTTTCTAATATTGTCAAATAACTCAAAATCTCATGTATTTGATCTTTTTATTCCATACAAGCTTACGATAAAATTGTATGTTACTCGCTCTAAAAAATAATCATGTATAAATATTACTTTAAAAAATTAAAAGTCTAAAATTTTGATTATGTATTTCAACCTTTTCACTATAATGTTTAAAATGTGATTGAAATACTTCATAAAATTACACGAGATACTATCAGTTAGATTCAAATAAATAAAAACATGCATAAATATTACTCTTAATATACATTTGAATATACTTTTTCTTGTGAAATTTAAATTCGATAAGATTATATTTTTTCTCATACCCGTGCGGGTCTTCTACTAGTGTTTGATTAAAAATAACAATAATTTTAAAATAAATAAATAAAAGCACGTTATAAAATAATTTCGACAATATTGCCACATATGTAAAACTTAGTATTTTTTAAATAAAATTTAATAGAAAAGATCAATTTTTCTAACAAAACTGTTGTTAAGAGACCAAATATAACCGTTTATTAATTAAGGAAAAAAAGTGAAATCTTAAATTAAATTAAAGAGTCAAAATATACATTAAACTTAATTTAAATTATTTATAAAATAATATAAAATAATAAAATAAAAAGAGATTGGTAAAATTTTAAATAAAATTAATTAATTAAAAAAAGTTAAAATTTAAAATAAAAATCAAAGAGATATAGTTGATAAAATATATATTACATCGAAATTATGATTTGCAACAATAACAAATACAGATTAACTCTAAAACCAACAAAGCAACAACTTAACAAAATTAAGGTTAAAATAAGAGATATAGTTGATAAAAGATATATTACATCTAAATTATGATTTCCCTTGATATAGTTATAGATTATAGAGTAACAAAATCAATAGTTGGTAATGACAAAAACAGATTAACTTAACAAAATTAAGGTTAAAATCTCCATATAATATTCATAAAACCTAAAAATCATAGATTTCTTATTTGTAAATTTCGTAAATTAGTTTTGGCGTTAGAACTAACACAAGCTAAACAGCTTTGCTACACGCCGCACTCTCTCTCTCTCTCTCTCTCTCTCTCTCTCTCTCTCTCTCTCTCAACTTCAAAACCCCTCATAAGTTCTCCATTCAAATCCTTCTATGTTCTCCATATAGCATCACTCACAGCTTCCAAAACCCTAGAAAGTTAACAATTTCACAATTTTTGGGTTTTTTTAGGGTCTTGGAAGACCAGTTTTTGAAGAAAACCCTCTTTTCTGAAGTTGAAATTGGAAGAGATACATGGAGAGCAGCATAGGGAAAGATAGCAACGAGCGTGTTCCTTTGTCAGGGGTGGTAGCAGATTGTGTGAAGCGTTGGTTTAAGGATACTCTAAGAGAAGCTAAAGGTGGTGATGTTAATATGCAGGTTTTGGTTGGTCAGATGTATTATAGTGGCTATGGTGTTCCTAAAGATGCTCAAAAGGTAGGGTTTTTCTGGTGATTTGAATTAGTCTATTGTTTTAATCAACTTGCATTGGATTGTGGTTTGTTTGTTTGGTGTTGATTTTTAGGGTTCTCATGTGATTAAATAAGTTAATATTGTTTGATAATAGAGATAAGAACAAGTGGGTGACTATATAAAGATTATGTTAGAACAACAACTAGTAATACAAGAGAAAATTGAAACGCGGATCGTGAATAATGAACATGATATTTGTTTACCGTAGTTCGATTTGACCAGCTGTGACTAGGTCTTTGACTAGAGAGAAGCTGCACCGAAGCTCCGTATTAATACTACTATCCACATTACAAGAATACCTTTGAACCGCACGGGGGTGAGCTCCCGCAACAAAGAATTGCTCCTAAACCACATTTAAGTCAAATGCTAGGGCTCCCTCGCCCCTTGCCCCTTTGTTTTGCATATGAAGCACAGACACAGACAACACGCTGACAAATAAACATAGATAATAACTTTAGAAAATAAGTAGTGATTGTATGCAATTAAGAGTGTCGAGTGTTAGTAATGTGTTGGTCACAGAGGCGTATCTTTAATCTAATGTGTTGGTGCTACATATGTGATTCTATCGTGTATATGCTAATAATGTTATGCTTGGAATTGCAAAGAATTAGATTTGATAGGGCCTCAATTATGGTTGCGATCGGGAAGCATAAAAACTTTGATATCATGGCCTAGATTGCAGTTAGGAACCGTTTATGAAAACATGTATACCAAAATTCACACACGTGTATATGAATTTAATTGAAACTTGAAAGATTGTGTTCCTGTCTATATATTTGCAACATTAGAAGTTCTATTGTGGGTGGATGTAATGACTTGATGTTAAACATGCATTTATAAGTCTAGTTTATTTTATTAATAATGTTAAAACTTAATGCTTTGTGTTTTGGATTTCTTTTAATGTATAATATGCAGACGTTATATCAGAAATAGATGTGAATAGTTTCTATTGTAAAATATATTAATTTCATGAACCTTTCTTTGAATATAACTGTGATTATGAAGTATGGACAATGATTGGGTTCTCTGGAGTGTAGATATACTTGTTTGTCTGTCTTTTGGTTTGGAATGCTAATGTTGTTTGTTTGGAAATGAAGAGTAAACTTTGGCTGACGAAAGCATCAAGGGTTAGATCTTCAGTTTGGAAAGTTGGAGATAAGCGTCCAGGTAAACCCTTTGCCGTTGTTAGCAGCTTATCAAAATTATCATCTCTCTTTTTCCTTTGTAATTTTGTGTAACTTCTTTATCTGGGGCGTTTTTTAAGGTTATAACGCAAGTGATATCTGGGGCGTTTTTTAAGGTTATAACGCAAGTGATTCTGACTCTGACGAATCTGATGAGGACTCTTAATCAGACTAAATTTGGTCCCATCCCTAAATTCTGAAAGGTGAGTTTATCCCATTCTTTTGAACACTCTTTGAGTTGTTACTCATTAATGACTTGTTTTATGTGTCATTATCTAATGGAAAAACTTGACCTTGAGCTTTAAGATATGATTTATATTGATGTGTTTTGTATCAGGTACTTAAAATTTATTTCTGATTTGGAAATGTTATACCCTGTTTCTTATTGATTCTGTTTGTGTCATAGTTTAAGAATGGCATGGGTTATTGAGATTTGAGCACTACTGTATCTTTTAAGCAACACGTGATTGATGGAATTTATGTTCTGTGATTCGGAATTTTTTTTGCTGTAATGAAACATGTGATTTGACTTCATATAGCCTACATGTTCTTAATTTTAGGAATTATATCAGAATTTTCTTAATTTTTTACGTAGTAACCTTTGGAGTTGAATTTGAAAGATTAATACAGCCTACATGTTCTCTGTTAGTTTGTTTAGTTGTTCCATACTGCCTTACCATAGTCTCATGCATGTTAACTGATATTTAATTGCCACATCAAAAAAAGAGACACAGTAAAGAATGTCAAGATGCTAAGCTTTTCCTTTTATTTTGAATCCGTAATTTCTTTGGTATCATGAATTGGCTGTCTCCTTTGTCAACATTCTTATGAGAAAAACCTTTCAATTGTTCATTAAATATAGAGATAATAGTACAAAGCAATAGTTTACTGCATACCCTGAAGTTGCATTCCATAAGTCATCTTTTTCAACAATTGATGTTTTTTTGCTGCGAGTTGACGGATTCGCTGAAAGGTTTAACTACCTTGAGTCTTTGCATTACTAAGATTCACATTCATAACAGACCATTCTTGATTTTCAGGTTAAATTTCCCTTTCTGATAGACTGATGTTGTGTTCCTTTGTTTTGTAGGTATATGCATTGTGTGACATCATGCTTCTTCATAGGCGGCACCATATGGATGTTGTTCCCGTTATACATTTGCTTTGTGATTAATGTATGGTTTGCTACATTTTTTTTTATCAATCAATGAAAAAGAAAAGTGACACTATTGGATTACTGAGCAAATTGTTTGATGGTAGTTGAGGTTTCTTTCGCACTTTCCATGACATGGCACCATATCATGCAAATAGAATAGGGACGAGTCTAGAATTATATGATTTCTAAACTTGTACTATGTATCATTTTATTTACTCATTTGTCTATAAAATGATGTAAAACCCTTCAGTTTTATAAACTCATTTGTCTGGTTTCATGGCATGTTCATTCTGTCATATGTTTTAGTTAATCTGCTACATTACGTTTGGGTATAAGCATATGTTGAGGAGAGGAACTTTTCACACCCTTCAATATCACATCGGATAACACATCCAATAAAAACGTGAATTGTTTTCAGTGCTACACTTTCGGTTAAAATGTGTCATTGTCTAAATATACACTTCAGAAAACATGTAATTATTTAGAAATATGTGGAGTGGAGATGCGTGTTCCCTTGTGTGGATGTTGCTATAGGACTAGTCAGTACAGTTTTTTAAATGATCGTCGAGTTTAAATTTAAATTTTCGGTCTACCTAAAATTTATGACTAATTGAAGATTATAATATATTCCCAACTTGTCCCATACAAATTCATAATCGGTAAGTGGCCTTTCACATCAACAAAAAAACATGGGATGGTAAGTGCTTTCACATGCATTTGGCAAAATTGGCCAAGTGTGTCGAGCTGACTCGTTTTGGGTTGTGGTCACTACCCACTATGTAGCGACAGTAACTAGCCTTATGGAAACCTAAATATGCCCTTAGTCATTGTGTGGATATCGAAATTTGGATGCAGCAATTATACATCAAATTTCTTTATTAGAATGACACCCCATTCAAGTAAAAAATGTGTGGATTTTAATCTCTGAACTTATCCATAGAACATATTTTCAGTATGTTTTGGCTGTGCGTGTTAGACACATGGGTGAATCTAGATTTCAAAATTTAGACACACCTCTAGACAGAACTTTACGCATTGACCACGTCGGTAGATTTGAATTTTCAAAACAATGGGGTATATTTGAATTTCTCGGACAAAACAATATTATGAACCCCTTGACAATACTTGAGAAGAAATTTTTATATCATTTGATATTGCATATATTATTCACACAATAAATCATAGATATAAGTCAGACATAATTAAAATCAACCATACATATAAGTCAGACATAATTAAAATCAAATTTTTATAATTCATTCGGATACCATACATAATCATTCATAAAATTTAATTAACCTACAAATTTTCAAATTATTTAAAAAATACCACTACAGTGTATATTTAACACCCACGTTCCTCTTCTGTCGCCTCTCTATATTGCAATGCATGTCGTGCATATGATAAGATTGCATATAGAGTGACCTTCTCAAAGTGTATTCTTGAAATCTTCTTTAGTTATGACATTTTTCATAATAGTAATAATACATTGACATTGACATATTAGTAGTACATCAACGACATACATAAATGACATGGTCCACCCTCGCATAACTTCTGATGAGCTGACATAGAAAGATCCCCTTATGGCTTTATTGTCATGTAAGGATGAGACACTTTATAAAATCATTAGATGTAACTATATACCATACTCCATGAACGAGGAGCTGACAAACTACGTACATCCTTAGGCACCATATGCTTATGGTAGTTCGTAAATGTCGCTGTTTCAGACTGCCCCAATGGCTAGGCATGGCCCAATCCACTTCTGCACCCAGAACGACCCAATTGTCTAAGTCCAATCACTTTGGGGGAGAATTTACCTTTCTGTCCCTCCAACAGGGGAGGCTGACTAGTTTACCCTTGGTCACATCACTTCTCCTCGTCAGTCTCTTCCCGTCACGCACGGTTCCACCATCCAGAACAGCCAAGACGCTTGTGTCCGTAACTACACCTCTACCCGTAGCAACGACTACTTATGGGCACGTCTGCTCGTTCCAACGACTAGTTCTGGCAGTTACCTATTTCTTCGGAAAACGGTTATCTTGCCCCGAAAATAGGGACCAATGACCAAGCGTTGGGGCACTATAAAAACCCTCTCACTTGAGAGGGCCAGGTATCCAATATTCACCCTGAAATACTCATATTTTGTACTTGCTCTCTCTTGCTCGTTTTCTTTAGCATCGAAGTGCCTTGCAGGTACACCCCCTCCCCCTCTTTCACACCCAACATCACCGACGTTTGTCTTTTGCCCACCTCAGGTTCTGATCAACCGGTAAGATCAGTGGTGCCGTCTGTGGGAAACTTGTTATCCCCATCTTTTCTCTCTTCGTAGACACCAGACCAAAATAGTTCTTCAAATTTCCGATCAAGGTCAGTCGTGACAACAATCTTGATGCTTGCAACTTTGCTTTCCTCCCCGTCAACAACTTTCCTCTCAGGGCGGCAACATCCTCCGACAAAGAGATGGAACCACAACTTCTCCATCCCTTGTTCGCGGAGATCACAGCGAAATCCGCTTGTCCCGCAACATCTGCCAGTCCCAGTTCCGCCTAGTGCCGACCCGGCCATGGCGGCCCTCCCTGTAACAGCCCAATTTCGGTTTAACTAATTAATTTAGTTATTGGAATTATTTTAATTATGGGATAGTGTGATAATATGTTAAGTTTACATATTATGCTATTTTATCATTTGTAGAATTTTGAAAAATTTAGTGGGAAATATTTCGGACAGTCTCAATTAATGGTTAAGTGGATGGTTTATGGAAATTGATTGGAATAATAGGTATATTGGAGGAAATAGAATGGAAAGAAATATAAAGAATAGAAATAGAAAGAAAAGATATAAGAGTAAAGGAGGAAAGAAAAGAGAAGGGTAGAAAGAAAGGGAGAAGAAGGAAAAAGGGAAGAGAAAAGAGAAGAAGAAGAGGAAAAGAGTGGAATCATCAAGAGCAACTCGAAGCTTCGATTAATCCAAGGTAAGGGTGTGAAATCTTACTATCTTAATCAATATGTTTGGTTATGTATGTGTATGGTTGATTGGGTAGAGTTTTGGAGAGTTTTCTATAAGCTTCCATTTTAGGTCGAAATTGATTCGATCGGTAGAAGCCGAGTTTTAATGATTGAAAATGAGAATAAGTGGTAGAATTTAGTCGAGGAATGTTAGACTAAGGCTACTGGAAACGAGTTAGGATTTATCGGGAGATTTTATCGGGTGTTTGGATTCTGAACAGTGGGAGAAAGTTCAGTCTGCAGACGCTCGTTAGCAGCTCGCTAGGCGAGCAGGTAGCGAGTGTTCGCTAGCATCTCGTTAGGCGAGTGCGTAGCGAATGGTCCCAGACTTGGGACATTGGTGTTTTGGTCTCCTTCGCTGGCAGCGAATGAAGTAGCGAATGACTCGCTGGGGGTTCGCTGTGGCGAACGAAGTAGCGAACGAAGTCTGTAGCTTCTGTTCTTGCTCGCTAGCAGTTCGCTAGGCGAGAAGGTGGCGAACGTTCGCTAGCAGCTCACTAGGCGAGCGTGTAGCGAATGTAGCAGAATGAGTCTTCTCCGCTGTTGGGTGCTGTTGTAGTTTGGGGTTCCGAGTGCGATCGACCCTTACTTAATTTAGAAGCTGGCGTAATGGTTCGTGACGTACGGTGGGTAGCCAATAGGTGTGAATCCTAGGTTAGGAATTGTAGCCGTTTGGGCAATTTCGTGCATTGTTTAATTCGATTAAAAATGCATAACGGTTGGACATGAATGATGAACGTGTCGTGTAGTATACATTGCGGTGTATGATGTTAAGTATATATTTGATCCCTTGGAGGATTTGCAGAACCTCGCTTGATGCGATGGTTATATTTGATCCCTTGGAGGATTTGCAGAACCTCGCTTGATGCGATGGTTATATTTGATCCCTTGGAGGATTTGCAGAACCTCGCTTGATGCGATGGTTATATTTGATCCCTTGGAGGATTTGCAGAACCTCGCTTGATGCGATGGTTATATTTGATCCCTTGGAGGATTTGC